TCCTGCTCCTGCAGCAAAATCAATATTATCCAACCTGCAGAGAGAACATTAATTATATTATAGTCACACCGAATCAGGGGGTGGTCCCTGACGAGTCCCGCCGGAGGGGGTGAACATATTTTGCATATTATTATATATAATATTACATACACATTTCACCTTTTTTTCGGGTGGGTGAAAAATAATTTTTTGAGCTACCTATATAATTTACACATATAATATATTATGGAATAGTTTTTATTTACATTAAACGTTTTATGTTTTGATTGCTATGATGAGTGACGACTATTAGGGTTACTACATATTTACATATTATTATACAGGCTGAGGCACCCGCATCCACCATTGTACCGAATTCTTATAAAACAAATTAAAGTCTTTCGAGCAGTGACATACTTATCTAGTTATCCTACACTTAAATGTAGTGTAAATAATCAACATAATATACCATAATATTCACTATAATATATGGAATTAGAGCCAATGTTGGATGTTTAATAACTACCTGGTAAGGTTAAATCATTACAAATTAACTTCAAACTGATGTCATAAATATTATTTGACATTAATTGTTGCATAAACTAAAAAGTATACCTTTGATTTTAATGATTTTATTATTGTTTAAAAATAATATTTTACTGGTGAAGTATTCAACACTACACTTATGTGATTTACATTTACACGAAAAAAAAAATATTTAACGATAAACCATAGGTAATATTTTTCTATTAGATTAAAACTAAATTCTAGTAAGTCAGATGGAGTAGTAGAAAACGAAGAAATGTACGCTAACGAACGCTATTGCAATGATCTCTTATTTTTGGATATAATAAGAATATCGATATAGAACAGAACAGTAATCTATAAGTAATATTTTTAACATGGCACTATAAATTTATTCTCCTGGTCATAATAAAAAATCATATTTGATGCCCTAAGAAAATGCAAAATAACATAAGATTAATTTTTATTAAGTATACCTTAAGATCGACGCATATTATGTTCTGAGGAGAGCAATGAATATAATATGCAATGATTTTCTACTTTTTATTTAAATATTGATTAGAACAGTTTATAACTATTTGATACTCTACGTATACCGCGGAAACAACAATGCAAGTAAAACATTTGGTAGGTACTATGTTGGGTATTGTTTTTAATGTAAAATATGTGTTAGTGTTAAGGGGCCTGCTCGCGATTTTTCAAATTTTCCGCAATTCTATAAAATTTGAAAATTAAATTTTATATTTTAGTTGCCACCTCAATTATAAGACTTTTCCACTAATCTACTACCCAATACCTATTTAGGGGGGGTTGATAGGGTGTATTATATCGGTCAAAACACAGTTTACAGGAAAAACTCTCACACCTCGTAGATTGGTCCGATTTCCGTAATTTTTTTTTGTTAGATAGAGGAATATTTTTTACAGGGCGCATTGGACTTCGATTTTTGATTACGTCGCTAAAAACAAAAAATAATACAAGAACTAAAAAGTTGTAAAAATTGATTAAATTCAAACTTGTAACATAAGACTTAGAAAAATAATGTTAAAAATCCAAGTCCAATGCGCCCTGTAAGAAGTCTTCCTCTATCTAACAAAAAAAAAATTACGGAAATCGGACCAATCTACGAGGCGTGAGAGTTTTTCCTGTAAGGCATGTTTTTGAGCAAAAAAACAGGTCGCGTGCAGGCCCCTTAATCGCATGATGATGATAGTTCGACAGTTCGTGTTCTTGTAATCGCATTAGGTCTTTAATTTTCCTATTCAACCTATTCAAATTATTACGTCGTGTGTATACGTAGGCAACAGTCATATCACATATTATATTGTTAATTCGATTTCCGATTTAATTTTACCGATGAACATGCAATCCCCGTGTGGCCGTGTGCATTAATAGTTTTCCCCGGTATGAAATTAGGGTATATGAGTATGAAATATTTCACATGAAATTTCCACTAAAATATTGAAAAATATTTTTTTTTAAACTCTGTTTTTTTTGTTTGTTTCCTAAAATCATCACAAGGTGGTCATACTGATTTCACACCTGATTAGTTATTATCAATATTTAATTTTCAGATCATGATATAAAGAAGATATTATATACACATATATATATATATATATATATATAAGATAGATAATTAATATGACATTTTTCTATAATATTTTTCATTAACACTTAACTAACTTGTTTTTTTTATCTTTCATAAATATGAAATATTTCAAAAAAATAAATTTCGTGAAATTTTGGAACCCTATAACTTATATAGTATTATAATTCTGTAATAACATGTCTAACGATTCTGTACGTATATTGTAGCAACTATAGCAATACATGTTGTGAAATATTTCGAAACGTACACAATATAATATTATCATTACAATAGATTAAATAACAATAATTAGAAAGCATACGTAGGTTATTGACTATTAATGCGTATACCTACGTGTAGGCGGAGGGCAGTCGTTGCGTTAAATTTGCAAAAGTATCTAATAGATGTATAATATATACATAATAATATTATGAAAACGTAACGAACAAACGCTGTGCGCAGAGTTAATTTGTTGGAATTTTACGGCGAGAAACGATTTTGGTGAAACTAAAAATAACACACACAAGACAGAGATGTGCACATTTTTCCGTCGATCGGTTTATCTTGTAACATTATACACACTAGTAATTGCGCACGTAATAATGTTCACGCACGTATTGCAATACTTGAGTAGGTACATATAAATACATATTATACATATGTGTATCCATATATGTATATATATAATATATTCTTGGTATGTGCACACTGCACTTGCATATATGTGTGTTGCATAGGAGTAACTATTATGGGAGGCATGCCTGTGACGTGACGTACCGAGAGTAACATTTTTATGATAAAATTCCGATTCAGTATTTTCACTCCACCCACCCAACACCCAACGGATGGGTTTTTACACACACAAATTCGACACGCCGATAGGTACTCGGTTATAATGGTTGGTAGATAAAATGTGATTTTCCACTTTCAGACATGTTGCCCAAAATATCATTTAGACCTTTATTCATTATTCAGCACGTCGCTGATGGAAGTCATTATTATATTAGTTATTATTATATTGAAAATAACGCGATAATTTACCCGTAGAATGTTATATTGTTATTATAATATAATATATCCATATAATCATATGGTATGATTATAAATTCTGCAATCAAAACTTTAAATTAAAGTGAGCGACGGTAAAATTTCGATTGGCAAGAGGTGTGGGAGTGGTAATAATTATTTGCAGTATTATTTTTATCCGAAAACTTTGTCAGTAGTCGTGGCCAGTGGCGCAATCAAGAGGGTCTACAACTAGCTCCGAGTCCTGACCCTCACTTCCTTCGGAGATTGAATAAATGTAATAAATTAGGTTATTTTTATTTTCTTTCTTGAATGTTTTATCATATTTAATGTTATAAAACGAAGTTACTGGTCACACACAATGCAATCAATTAGATTAGAATAGATTATAAATTATATATTTAAATTAAAATTCCTAACATTTCTATGACATAAAACAACGATGTAACATTCCAAAGTAAAATCCAGAAGACTATATTACAGAAAAGTTTGTTGTTCCATTTATTGATTTTATTGCCTAACAGCTAAACGATGGTTACATTTGTTCATTACTATCACAAAAACGGTTATCAAATATAATTGATCAGTTCTTCTGCTCAAATTTAGTTAAATCTTGTCGATTATTACAACAATAAATTATGTTAAAAGCTATGATAAAGTTGTAAAAAAGGTTGATTTATGGGGTCAAAATGTAAATGAAAATAATATCAAACCCTGTAATATGTTGGATGCATTAGATAATAAAAGTTAAGATTTTTACACATTTTAATATTGTACATCATTGTATATTATCTTCTGAAACCGAAAGATAGTTTTCATCATGGAATCGGATTAAAACATATCCTAAGAAAAATAAATTCAGAAAACCGATTAAATGAGTTCCCTAGCTCTTTTTAACATACACAGAAATGTGTCGGTTATAGTTAACGACCAGCTTTAGAGAAATAGTGGTTGGATTTTGCACTGTTTATATAATATAATGAGGCAAAATAATGTAAAATGTAATAAAAATTAAAAATAAAGAATTTCCGTTCAAAGTTTTGATTTTTTATGAGTATAAAATGTGTTAAATATTTCTTTGTGTGCTTTAAAAAAAAAAAATAATTATGGTGTTTGCATACAGCTTTTTTAAATATTCATTAGATATATTTGTTTTACATTTTGTATTTAGTTGTCTTTCGAAAGAATGTATCACAATTGGACCCTACCCTCAAACAAATACTGGTCGTGATGGTTGTTAATTTTGCCCGGGTTTTACCTTATAGTGGTACTATCTGTGGTATATCAAAATGTATATATTGCACCTAAATACATTTCTCGTTACATACTCAAATAGGTAAGCTGGTACAGGCTCATGCGTACATAGTATTTTCAATAAAATGTAGGATTATACTTCAATGGATTTCTGAGTAAGTTCAGGCTTACGAATTAGGAGGCATCCTGTTATTAAATTTGTTCATCACATGATTTGTCTGGTATAGCTCAGTAAATGTTATATTATTTCATAACATCTCCCTATTATTTCAGCTTTTCATCATACATCATAATGTATAACATATATTTTTGGTTGCATGCGTTTCAAAGCAAAATATTCTTCTGAGAATTGTTACGTGTAATATAAACAAACGCATCGAACGAGTAATTTTACTGATACAGTGATACCCCACCACTTATAAATTATAACAGTATTCAAATATTATAGATGAGCCGAGTTTTGTGGCAGGTATGAAATTCAAAATTAATTATGTTGCCGCTTAAAAAATGATAACGACACAAAATAGGTTTTTGTCATAGAATGTTGTCTGATACGACTTATGGTGACTTTAAATAATATGTAATAAAAAATATTTTTTCAGAAACGTTTGGTAATAATACTTTTCTAGTAAATTAATCGCACTGCAGGAAATAACAACAGGTTCTGTGCACTACTCACCGTGTTGGAAGTTATGCAATCGTCCTGCAAGCGGATCTGGTGGTTCTCCCACCGTCTCAGATACTTGGAACTGAGTATCTTGCTGATAATCGTGTTGGTGTGATTCAGGTGGCACACGGCCACGTCTACCTCGCGGATCATGCGCAACTGCTTGCGCGCCACCTTGGTCAGATCGGCGTCCGGCCCGGCGGCGAACGGGTGGTTGGCACACGGCGGCGGGCTGTCGGCCTCGTCAAGCACGAAGTCGTACACGGAACCGACCCTCTTGAGCCCCGTGGGCGAGTCCGGCCCGTTGCAGCTTTCGTCCGAGGAACATTCGTCCCGGTCCGTGTGGATATCTGAACTCGACTCGTCCACGCTGGCCACCGTTGGGCGAGTACGGTCTCCGCGACAGCCGACGACGCTCATGGTCGAGACGGCGTCGTCGGTGACGTAGACCACGACGGCCGACGACGGGATGGCCACCGCGGCCACGTCCACATCCCCGTCCGACGTGGCCACGCTTCCGGCGCTGTTCGTGCTGTTCGTACTGCTCGTGCTGTTCGTGCTGCTTGTGCTGCACTTACGTGTCGGAGGATCCGTCCGGAGATCGTCCACGGTCGTAATCTCGCAACTCATATCGCCGCAGAGACGTTCACCATGCACGAAGAACGACCGCCACTGGCTGCAAAAGCATTTTCTCATTTAATTCCTGAAAATATTTTATTGAATAAGTACTTATAAATTATAATGACGCGCCTTGTAACACATGTATAATACAGTTGGACCGCATATTATAGGGAAATAAAATAGCAAATGACAAACACATATTAACGATAAAGTTATGACAACGGATTATATGATGATTGTGGTGATCATCTGCAGTGATGGTCATTTTTTATTGTTAAATTGATATCTATATAGATCTGAACTGCTGCATATTGGTTATGATATGAACCACAATCTGTATTCAAAAACGATCACACTCTTCAAATTTAATTTAACGAACTCAAGCTAAGTGAATTTTGGATATTTGAAAAAAGCGTAACTACCGTTGTTGAGGAGTTACGAGTTTCCCTCACCACATATAAATAGGTTATGTTGATGTTGTCTCAAGTTTTTCATTTAATAATTTACTTTCTATTTAATACGTCATACTGTCGTAGGAATGTTTGGTATTTTTTTTTATTTGTCATATTAATATCACATTGCATAGTAGGTATAACGCCAAGTATGAAATACTTTGTGAGTATGTCGCTGCAAATTGTGATACAAAGTTTGAGAAACAATGTACCACTACGATACCGTCAACAATTCAACATAATAATATGTAAATTCCTGTTCGTCTAAGTAAAACCAATAGCAGTAACATAATGCGCGCATAATTGGGTGTAATATATTATAATAATATATAGATGATAAAATGATATAACATAATATAATGTATATATTACGATCAAAATAATATTTTTTCCTGTACTTCTGTGAATATACGAACTGAATTAACTTTCTGCAGTTTTAAGAATAATTGTTTTATATTGTTATATTAAGTAAATGTTATAGGTGCTCAAAGTATTTAATTTATCATTATTCATTACACCACGTACTTATACTGCAATTTTTTACCGTAGGTAATACTTTTAAAATGTTTACATTTATTTAATGGTAACTATCTTAATTTTTTTAGATTCTGAGTAAGCTGTAGTCAATGTAGTAACTAGTATATGTACCTATTGGCATACAAAGATTTTTTTTGTGCCCGTCATCGAATTTTTAATACTAGAAAAACAGGTTCTAACTTCATCTTTGGATTAATTTCTATAGTGCGTTTCACAAAAAAATATGTCCCTCGGTAATAACGCAGCGAGTGGTGGTTTTTACTCAGATCAGGGGATTACAATTTAGACTAGAAAATAAGGAGCACACGTATTTAATTTTAAATTTGCCGCCGTATTTACGTGCCATTTTTGGCCATTTTTGGCCACCCAGCGCGTTACTATTGAGGTATATTAGTTGAAAAACACACTATATAGTAGAAATTTTGATCTATAAATGAACTATAGATTGGTACGTTAGGGGGCCTAAAGTAGGACTTTTCTAAATAACCAGAAAAACTAAAATAAAACCTGCATTCATGAAGAGAAAATTTTATCGTTCATAGCCAAATCAATTTTCTAGGCATGATTTAATTTTCAAAGTATTTTGGATTTTTTTCAGTAACTTATAGACATTTGCGATTTTGACATTTGGTCAAAAAATTTGAAATGTAAAACAACATTAATCAATGTTACTAGTTAATAATTGTTATAATATAGCAAATTAAAAATTTCAAAAACGAAAAAGGTACAATTATTAAAACAATTATTTTTTTACCCATTCTACAGTACGTTGGTATTGTCTTGAATTGTAAACAACAATATAGAATATAATATTAAATAATTAATAACAAAATATGTACGGCAGAAAATATATTAACCTGCCTATAATTCATTTTACTCTACTATTTTAAAACTAGAGTGATAAAATGTAAAGGTAAGATTATTATCTATTACATCTCGGAGTATTTCATTGATATTATTATTATTTTTAAGTAAGATAATATGATCAAAAAATGTACAGTTACAAAAAGTTCATAACTATTGCTTCTTAATAAAAAAAAATCAATAACAGCCTCCGAGATGCCCTAGATAATAATCTTACCATTCTTACCTTTAAATTATTTAACAAGTCAATGTAAATTTCGAATTTACAGAGTAAAATGTATTAGTCAAATTTGTCATGTTGTACATTTGTAAGACGGTGACAACGCATACGCGGGTGTGGAGTCCTCTTAATTTAACTTTTAAATATTATAACATAGTAATGAAAATCATAATTTGATTGTAACAAATAAAAATTTGTAAAGTTAAAAATCTGTTAAACGTGTAGTGCATATACTAATTTATGTATTACTACATAGTGTTGCAAATTTGTACATACTATATTATACATAAGTAGCTATGCTACACTAACGGTTTTTCTTAGCAAACAATTTGAAATAACGTAATAAATTCTTAGTAAAAGACATAAAAATGATACGCAACGACACTTTAATACAAAATATTATGTATTCTAATCTTATAATATTAAATTATATACCTAAAAATAGAAAATATTTATAGTTTCTGGGAAATCACGTCAGCCATATAATATTATTACTCATAATATACCTACAATGATCATATTATTAGGTATTATGTAATACTATTTACATAATATAAAATATTTATTATTATAACATCGCAAAATTCGCAATACAACGAAATACATCGATTTGTGTCGTTATAAAATTTCGTTTTACACTTTTACTGCGTAGAAACTGCAACCATAGTATTTTGTTCTAGATCCTTAAAAAAAAATATATATAAAGGTTATATAGGTACGATACGAGTAATAATAATATGTCGATAGAAGTACTAAACATTTGCAAACAACGGGCACAGCATATCATATATATATAATATATACTATTATCGGACGTTCGCATAAAAAACCGTATGGTCTACTCGACGGATCATTTAACTGACAGCCAAATAATTTAAACCATTTATATTATACTATGCATACACTCTGATCTCCAAAATTAATTATTGTTTGTTATACACTGTGGCGATGGATTCAAATAGTTATTTTAAAACGCGAAGAGTCCTAAAAATGTCAAGTCAAAAACTAATTAGGTATCTTATAAATAAGCGAATGCAAAATAAAAAACCGTTTAAACGTGCGAACAATAATGTTCTAAATCAAAACCTCATAGATAAGTAAATAGTGATATTTTATCATACAATCAAAGACAGTGGCGTGCCCAGGGGGTTGGCCTGGTAGGCCCGGGCCTGCCCTGTGTTTTTTTCGACTTTTCGTATTACGAAATGATACGAAATGAAATCATTTTGGAACAAAGATTATTTATATTTTATTTATTAGACACTTATATGAAGAGTTAATACGTGTTTATATTGTTTATAATAATTATAATTCATTCCTTCGAGGTGAATAATTGTGGCCACAGTTCCTTCTGCTTATCGACTTCTGCTTATTCGGGAGACGACTAAAAATAGTAAATAATAGACAATATTCCCGAAATGGTTGTTATTTATAAGTTCGTCACTGGCTGTTCACTGCCGACAATCGTCATGAATTTGACGATGTTGATATGAGATAATAAATATGGATTATAAATGTTATTTTTTAGTATTTATTTATTACGATGTGTTGGTGTGTTCAGTACAGTACAGTAACTGTATAGACGTATAGTGACTAGTGAGTGGCCGAGCCGATTGAGGTAATCGTTTTGTCTATTTTTTTGTCTATTTTTTTTGTCTATTTTTTTTGTCTATTTACACTATTAAAATAACCTAAATACATTTTTCTTTTATTTTGCTTAAAATTTGACTACTTATTAAATTAAAATAAAATGAACAGCCAGCTTATAAACCTATTCCGAAATCCACAAGGACATTGAACGATGATTATAGTACAATAGATAAACCTCAATCAAAAATTTAAAAATTAAATGTTACCTTGACTTCTAACGAGTCTTCTAATTCTTCTTCTAGCTTAAAAGGGCTTGATATTAGCTTAAATAGTTATGTATAACCTATTCAGCCAATTATTAATACATTTTCCACTGTACTTATAAGTTATAATTAAAAAACTATTGTTTCATTTGTATTCACTTTTATTATCTTTAAATATTATTAACAAGTCAAACAGGTGGAATAAATTTTATTATATTATTAGGTATATAATATGATCATTTTTTTCTAATTAAATTTAAAAATATTATAAAAAGTTTTTAAAAAATAACGTGTACCTATATAAATTTAAATAATTATAACTGGGCCTGTCCTACATTTTGATCCTGGGCACGCCTCTGATCAAAGACTAAATCGTACATATTAACATTTGATGGATCACTAGACGCGGAAATCGAATCTGTTAAATTAATAACCACCCCAAGATAGAAAAAACGAATAATATTTATAAGTAGGTATTAATATTTATAGATATAACTTATAAGGAAGCCCCATCAAACTTCAATTGCAACGAAAGGTATATTTTGGATATTTTTCAACACGAATTTCTTATTTCTACTGAAACTAGATAACTCTGTGTGATTCACCAAAGTTTGCTCACTCCCGTTTGTTTTATTTAATTTATTTAAATTCTGATCTGTGGAATTATGAAATTATGATAGATATGAATCTATCAACTATCAAGTTTTGAATCATCATAGGTCTAAATTTTTTCCCGAACCCAGTATAACGGAACCATCCTTAGTACCCAAAGTTAAATAACTCAAAAAATACTCTTTCTGTTCAAAAAGGTATGTCAACATTTTCAAAAAAATCATCTGGTTAACAATTTGGGAAACGGGTGATTATCATTTAAAATTAACAATTTCAAATCGTCACAGGACACTACTTAAATGGAATACAAAATCTAAATAATTTAAAATATAGTCTATTAAGTATAATAATAATTGTTCCAAACCTCACGGTTCGATATGTTCGAATAAATTCACTATTAAAGGAAAGAATGGGGGTGAGCATAGCTTTATGAATCACCATGCGTACATTACCAAACGAAACAAAACTCTACCTTAGTCAAGGCCGTAGCTGTAACAAATTTTTGGGGATTGGTAATTAAATTCGAACCCCCAAAAC